TGAAAGAAGCTCATTGGAACATCTCGGAGGCTGAGATTTGATCTGTAACAAGTTTTTTAAATGCATCAGACTCAGACTTGCGGGTTTTTGTTTTATGTTGCCTGGTAACTTACTTTGTTCTGTCTGTTACTACGTGGAACCACTTGAATCCGACTTTTTATACTTAATAGAATCACTTTTGTTTATTAATTAACCCAGAGTAAGTAATTAATACCTGGGGATCAAACAGCTGTGCATCTCGCTCTCAGTGTTATCGAGGGGGGACACTTTCTGAGTTTAGCCTGGATAAGCTTTAGACCGAGTGAAAGGGGTTTATGTGGGTACATGTCACCTCAGGACGAAATGCAGAGACAAAATTTCTCAATACTTTAACTGACTGCTTCTTGGAGCAGCTGGTACGGGAACCCACAAGGGGAGAGGCAACTCTCAATTTAGTCCTGAGTGGAGCGCAGGAGCTGGTCCAAGAGGTAACTATAACAGGACTGCTTGGAAATAGTGACCATAATACAATAGCATTCAACATCCCTGTGGTGGGAAGAACATCTCAACAGCCCAACACTGTGGCATTTCATTTCAAAATGGGAACTATGCAAAAATGAGGGGGTTAGTTACACAGAAGTTAAAAATTTCAGTGACTAGAATGAAATCCCAGCAAGCTGCATGGACACTTTTCAAAGACACCATAATAGAGGCCCAACTTCAATGTATCCCCCAAATTAAGAAACACAGTAAAAGAACTAAAAAAGAGCCACTGTGGCTTAACAACCAGTGAGAGATAAAGACTTCCTTTAAAAAGAGGAAGTCAAATCCTAGTGAGGCAAATAGAAAGGAGCATAAACGCTGCCAAATTAAGTGCAAGAATGTAATAAGAAAAGCCAAAGAGGAGTTTGAAGACCGGCTAGCCAAAAACTCCAAAGGTAATAACAAAATGTTTTTTAAGTACATCAGAAGCAGGAAGCTGCTAAACAACCAGTGGGGCCCTGGACGATCGAGATCCAAAAGGAGCGCTTAAAGATGAGTCATTGCGGAGAAACTAAATGGATTCTTTGCTTCAGTCTTCCCGGCTGAGGATGTTAGGGAGATTCCCAAACCTGAGCCGGCTTTTGTAGGTGACAAATCTGAGGAACTGTCACGGATTGAAGTGTCACGAGAGGAGGTTTTGGAATTAATTGATAAACTTCACAGTAACAAGTCACCGGGACCAGGTGACATTGACCCAAGAGTTCTGAAAGAACTCAAATGTGAAATTGCGGAACTATTAACTAGGGTTTGTAACCTGTCCTTTAAATCGGCTTCTGTACCCAATGACTGGAAGATAGCGAATGTAACGCCAATATTTAAAAAGGGCTCTAGAGGTGATCCCGGCAATTACAGACCGGTAAGTCTAACGTTGGTACCGGGCAAATTAGTCGAAACAATTGTAAAGAATAAAATTGTCAGACACATAGAAGAACATAAGTTGTTGGGCAAAAGTCAACATGGTTTCTGTAAAGGGAAATCGTGTCTTACTAATCTATTAGAGTTCTTTGAAGGGGTCAACAAACATGTGGACAAGGGGGATCCAGTGGACATAGTGTACTTAGATTTCCAGAAAGCCTTTGACAAGGTCCCTCACCAAAGGCTCTTACGTAAATTAAGCTGTCATGGGATAAGAGGGAAGATTCTTTCTTGGACTGAGAACTGGTTAAAAGACAGGGAACAAAGGGTAGGAATTAATGGTAAATGTTCAGAATGGAGAGAGGTAACTAGTGGTGTTCCCCAAGGGTCAGTCCTAGGACCAATCCTATTCAACTTATTTATAAATGATCTGGAGAAAGGGGTAAACAGTGAGGTGGCAAAGTTTGCAGATGATACTAAACTGCTCAAGATAGTTAAGACCAAAGCAGACTGTGACGAACTTCAAAAAGATCTCACAAAACTAAGTGATTGGGCAACAAAATGGCAAATGAAATTTAATGTGGATAAATGCAAAGTAATGCACCTTGGAAAAAATAAACCCAACTGTACATACAATATGATGGGGGCTAATTTAGCTACAACAAGTCAGGAAAAAGATCTTGGAGTCATCGTGGATAGTTCTCTGAAGATGTCCGCGCAGTGTGCAGAGGCGGTCAAAAAATCAAACAGGATGTTAGGAATCATTAAAAAGGGGATAGAGAATAAGATGGAGAATATATTATTGCCTTTATATAAATCGATGGTACGCCCACATCTCAAATACTGCGTACAGATGTGGTCTCCTCATCTCAAAAAAGATATACTGGCATTAGAAAAGGTTCAGAGAAGAGCAACTAAAATGATTAGGGGTTTGGAACGGGTCCCATATGAGGAGAGATTAAAGAGGCTAGGACTCTTCAGCTTGGAAAAGAGGAGACTAAGGGGGGATATGATAGAGGTATATAAAATCATGAGTGATGTGGAGAAAGTGAATAAGGAAAAGTTATTTACTTATTCCCATAATACAAGAACTAGGGGTCACCAAATGAAATTAATAGGCAGCAGGTTTAAAACAAATAAAAGGAAGTTCTTCTTCACGCAGCGCACAGTCAACCTGTGGAACTCCTTACCTGAGGAGGTTGTGAAGACTAGGACTATAACAGCGTTTAAAAGAGAACTGGATAAATTCATGGTGGTTAAGTCCATTAATGGCTATTAGCCAGGATGGGTAAGGAATGGTGTCCCTAGCCTCTGTTTGTCAGAGGGTGGAGATGGATGGCAGGAGAGAGATCACTTGATCATTACCTGCTAGGTTCACTCCCTCTGGGGCACCTGGCACTGGCCACTGTCGGCAGACAGGACACTGGGCTAGATGGACTTTTGGTTTGACCCAGTCTGGCCGTTCTTACGTTCTTATGTGGGGTTTGGACCCCACGGGGAGCTGGGGGCTGGAGGCAGGGAACCTGCAGAGCAGTTCTTGGTTAACACCTGCAGCTTTGGGGCCGTGGCCCAGACGTGGGTCTGGGTTGCAGCCGGCTGGCGTGTCTGGCTCCACAAGGCCGGTTCTGCAGTCCCCGGCTGGCAGGGAAAATGGGCTCCGAGGTAAACTCAGCACGTCAGGTGACAGTCCCAAGGGGGTCTCTGTGACCGAAGCCATCACACCATCCATCCACACACGCCTCATCCCTCCATCCCTCCATCCATCCCCACCCCTCCCTCCATCCATCCCCACACGCCCCATCCCTTCATCCCTCCATCCCTCCATCCGTCCATCCATCCCCACACACCCCATCCCTCCATCCCTCCCCACACACCCCATCCATCCATCCATCCCCACACACCCCATTCCTCCATCCCTCCATCCATCCATCCATCCATCCCCACACGCCTCATCCCTCCATCCCTCCATCCATCCCCACCCCTCCCTCCATCCATCCCCACACGCCCCATCCCTCCATCCCTCCATCCGTCCATCCATCCCCACACACCCCATCCCTCCATCCATCCCCACACACCCCATCCATCCCCACACACCCCATCCCTCCATCCCTCCATTCATCCCCACATGCCCCATCCCTCCATCCCTCCATCCCTCCATCCATCCCCATATGCCCCATCCATCCATCCCTCCATCCATCCCCACATGCCCCATCCATCCCTCTATCCATCCATCCATCCATCCATCCATCCATCCCCACGGGCCCCATCCCTCCATCCATCCATCCCCACATGCCCCATCCATTCATCCCTCCCTCCATCCATCCATCCCCACACACCCCCATCCATCCATCCCTCCATCCCCACACACCCCATCCATCCCCTTGCATCCTCTCCCTCCCCTCCAATCACTAATTGAACACACGCACCCTGCCCCTTTCCCAGCCCTCCCCCCGGATCCTTTCACCCCCACACCCCTTTAACACCCAATGGTGGCCATCTTTTTTGCCTCCCATTCACCACTTAACCATGGAAGGTCCCTGGCCTCGGGTGTGTGGTGTGGGGGAGGTGGGGCACAGTGACCCTAGTCTTTGGCGGGAGGGTCTAGCAGACTCCCAGGCCCTTCTGCACAGCCCCATGGGAAGGTTCCCCCGCTTCCCGCCCCCCCAGAATGGAGGTCCCTCACCAATGCCCTGCTCAGTGCATCTGGTCTTCAACCCCTATCGGTTTTGAACAGGACGCCTGGGTTCTCTCCCCGGCTCTGGGAGGGGAGTGGGGGCTGGTGGTTAGAGCAGGGGGGGATGGGAGCCAGGACTCCTGGGTTCTCCCCGGCTCTGGGAGGGGAGTGGAGGCTGGTGGTTAGAACAGGGGGGGCTGGGAGCCCGGACTCCTGGGTTCTCCCCGGCTCTGGGAGGGGAGTGGGGGCTGGTGGATCAGAGCAGGGTTTTATGCCCAACCCATGGGGCCTGCCCTGCCCTGTCTCCCCAGTGCCTGGCCACACCCGCGTGCCGTGCTCATGGGAGAGAGCTGGAGAAAAACCACGGAGGAGATCGGCACCGTCTATGACATCAAGGAGAAACTTGGGGCGTGAGTCACCCGGCAATGGGGGGCACAAATCCTGGGGAGGGGTGAATAGACTGGGGGCAGGTTGGGGGGGGGGCTGGGAGCCAGGACTCCTGGGTTCTCTCCCAGGCTCTGGGAGGGGAGTGGGGGCTGGTGGTTAGAGCAGGGGGGTTGGGAGCCAGGACTCCTGGGTTCTCTCCCTGGCTCTGGGAGGGGAGTGGGGGCTGGTGGGATAGAGCACGAGGGGGCTGGGAGCCAGGACTCCTGGGCTGGTGACTCTGGGGGACGTATCCGCTCTCCAGCATCTCCGTGCCTCAGTTTCCCCCTCTCTGCATTGCTGGGGTGGGGGGCAGCCGCCCATGTTGGTCTGTCCCGCAGAGGGGCCTTCTCGGAGGTGTTCCTGGCCCAGGAGCGGGGCTCCCAGCGGTTGGTGGCCCTGAAATGCATCCCCAAGAAGGCACTGCGGGGCAAGGAGGTGGCTGTGGAGAATGAAATCGCCGTGCTCCGGAAGTAAGGGGGGGGCCGGGGGGGAGGGGTGTGTGGCTGGGGAGCTGGGTGGGAGGGGTGTGTGGAGGGGGAGCGGGGGGATTGGGGGCTCCGGGGTTGTTTCGGGGGCTGACCCCTCCCCGCTCCGTTGCAGGGTCCATCACGAGAACATTGTGGCTTTGGAGAACATCCATGAAACTCCAACGCACCTGTACCTGGCCATGCAGCTGTGAGCCCGGACGCCTGGGTTCTGCTGGGGGAGGGGGGGCTGCTGGTTCGAGCAGGGGGGCTGTGAGCCCGGACTCCTGGGTTCTCTCCCAGGCTCTGGGAGGGGGGTGGGCTGTGGTGG